GTAACAAGATGGAAACAGGTTTAGGGTGTTAGCACATTAAAACTGATTTCAAAGCGGATTTCACCTGGCCGCCTGCGTTGCCTGTAGCTGATGATCTAGATTCTGGCTGTTTACACCTCCTACAATCTCCTCAACAGACCAGTGCTGAGGAGGCTGTGGAAACAGAAACAGAGCAGGTTTAATCCTGGGTCAAACAGCAGTTAAAATTAACCCTAAACATTAGGACATGCTTGTAATATGTCTAGGTTGGGGTTACAGGATCAGTTCAATTAAGATTAAAAAAAAAAAAAACATAAGCTACACAATCTTGACCTATTACTCAAAGCATTCATAACATGGTTACAAATCAATATTGAAAGTGACTTTTCTTAAATCAAATGGGAAGCATTTTAAAATAAAGTGGGAAAACCCTCACATTGTTATCATCAGGTAGACAAGGTCCTTATTGACCTTTGGCCACTGGGCACAAAAAGCGCTAGTCTGTATGAGAAAGAGACAGCTGCTGTCTACTACCTGTGCGTTGGGATCTTTCTCTTGGAGAGGGGAGGCTGGCTCGTCCAAAAGGCTCTGGACGTTTCTCCTCTTCAGGATCTGATCATCTTTCTTTGCTTTGCGGAGCTCCACGTTTACTTCCGCTCTCCTGCGCCTAAGCTCCTGAAGGAGCCGACACCCAGAAACATATCAACAGCATACGATTAACATTAGATAGCGTTTATTAAGATTAAAGTTAGCTATGTAATTCATGTTGTAAAGCTGGCTGCTAGTGGCCGAACTTACATTGGCATCTTTGCCTTTGTTTTTGAACTGGGTGAGTCGAGCTCCGTTGTCGTTTGCAGCTGACATTCCTGACCGTTGAATAAAACAATCGATTCCGCTGACGTTATTGACACTGGCTGTGGGAAGATGACAATTTCAAAAATCAAACGGTCGTACCAACGGCTGCTTTCACTACCGTCTTCTGCTTAACGTTGTTAGCTACATAGCTAACTGGCGGTGGATTAGCTGGCTAGCAGTTAACTGGCGCTTGTCTTGAAGCCGGTTATCTAACACCATGTGGCCCACCGCACACGGAGGCTGTCTGGTAAACCAACACCCCAAAAAACCGCTGAAATTCATTGGAGGAAACATTATATACTCAAATTATTAGCAAAAACAAAAACCTATACAATTAAAGTAACGTTACATTTGTTTAAAAATCTACATTTAGCCACAGAGCATGTGCGACGTGCTTACCTTACAGATTTCTTGTTTCTTTTTTTTTTTTTTTTACATAGGCCGTGACGTCATGAACAAACACCGCCCTGCTTTTTCCTGACTTTTGATTGGTCGGTTGGACAATAAGCTCCGCCCACTGTCCAGGGTTTAAAAAAACGCATCAAACTACAAAGCCGTTGTCAAAGGCAACCGCTTTCAGTATCGCGAGATAAAGCTGCCACTTCCTTGTAGGATGATAGCTCTTATGCAGATATGTCTGAAATACCTTTTGTACCGATGGTAACGTTTTCTGTACTTGACAAAATGTATTCCAATCTCGGATGTCTAAATGCACGTCATATCGCTTGTCTTGATTTGTCCCTTTATTGTGATAAATATAGTTTTTTATATCGAACTACGTAATGACCCAGTGGCCTAATGGATAAGGCATCAGCCTCCGGAGCTGGGGATTGTGGGTTCGAGTCCCATCTGGGTCGCATTTAGCTTCCTTTTCAGGGATTAAAAATGAGTCTCCTCTCACTGTGATTTGGCGATTAAAAATAGGAATTCTTACATTGTCTATACGTAAATCCTGTTAATAGGCAGGCTCAAACCGATCAGTATGGGTTCATTAATTATGATCTGAACTTCCACTATCAATACCAACATAGGTCAAATAAAATAACAAATGATGTATAGAGGAACCCTGCCAACAGTTTAACTCTGGTGTTAAATCCCTTATTCTGCATATAAGAGCAGCCACAAAAGTTAAATTTGAATTATACTGTGGCTAGAATTGCCATTCCTGTGGAAGGCATTGTTCAGCATGTTAAGCAATAAAACTGTTTAAAAAAACAGAAATGTTGAAAATGGAAAAATAAGACTAAAATGTCAGACAATGCATTTCAAATAAATAAGCACAGGTGCTGCCTCATGCTGGGAGACCTCAGCTCTCCAGTCCTGTAGATGATAGCAACATGTGAGCACATGATGGCCTGTGATCTGTGATTGTATGCCTTGCATGCTTTTGCATGTGTCCAGTATTCTCTCAAGAAAGTAATGAGAGATCTCTGCTGTGGCGCAAGATGCACTGCTAAAAATGGGAAGCAATGTAGTTTGACAGTAAGTGCGAGTATGCCATAATTTTTGCAGTGATTTCGGCTTGACGTAATTACCGATATGCTGCAGTGACCACTAGAGGGCAGTGAAGACCTATGATTAAATAAACTCAGATTAACCGTTACCTCCACCCAGCGTAATGGCAGGCTAGCATTATTTATACTGTAAAAACACAGTGACAGTGGAGAAACTTACTAACATTAGCTAGCTGAGCTACTACATCTGTCACGTGACCCTCAACTTGCATGTCCCCTAAGGACTCTTCAATATTTACAGTACAAATAACATGAGATTGTCTTGATGATAGATTGATGTGATAGTCAGCCTCGAAGGCCAATGATTCAGTGCTTTCTCTTTCATGTGCCAGTCATTGTTTATAGTCCGATTAGCAACCTCGGAAGCTATTGTCTGATGACGCTGCAGATAAATCAATACAACAAACGTTAACCAGAACGCTTCCGATACCAAAATGTTGTCCTTGCCAACATATTCTGCCTTTTTATGCAGATATCTGTTTACAGAGATTAGGTGACAGACCTGAGAGTATTTAGAATAATGTGTCTTCATTGCCCTCCAGTGGTCAGAGTGAGGAACCGCAGCACATTAAATATGCCATATGTCCTTTCAGATTGCTTGTTTACTGTGTTTTGAAGGTTTGAAGGTCAAATGTATCATTGTGCTACAGTTTCTTACTTACAGTGAAGACACACACCATTAAATACACTCAGGTCATCCATCATCTCCACCCAGCATCAGTACATGATAGCGTTATTTATACTGTAGCCTAAACATGTAATCATTGTAGTGGAGAAGCTACCACATCAGTCAGGTGACCTCTTCTTGTACATGTAACAGACTGTAGATTTGTTAATAACATGAGCCTGCCTTGATGCTCCTGTACTTAACTAATTGACCTGAGTTTATTGAAAATCAAGAGTCTTGCCTGTCCTCCAGTGGCCACAGTGAAGAACTGCAGCAAATCAAGCGTCAATAGAAAATGATAATATAGAAATACTTCGGGTGCCATGTCTGCCTTGGTGCAAGTGGGATGAAACTTTTTCTTTTAATTACAGAAATGTACAACATGCAACGAATTTACAGACTAAATGAGAATGTGAATTCTTCAACAGTCGAAAGAAGATAAAGAGTAAAAACTGAAGACATGACTAAAGTTAACTATTTACTTTGTGAGGGGTCTTAAACCACAATCTTGTGGTCAACTAAAATGTTATAAATACTTTTTTTTACTTTTTTTTTTCATTTTACACAAAATTTTGCTGTAACAATGAAATACTCTATGAAAAAAATGATTGAGACATTTTGCTTTGTGGATATTATATTTCTAATGTTACTATTCTAATATATTACACAAAACCTGATATTTCCATCATATAAAAAACTAAATTACAAATTAACATCTGTTATGTTGTGCTCAAAAAACAAGGTTTGCTCTTTAACAGTGCTAATGTGTCAGAGTATTTTCCAGATCAGTCCAAAATATCATAGCGGATATATTGAAGGAAGTGGAAGATGCTTGCCTCGTGTGACCACTAGTTTACAGCACAGGCAGTTCGTTATCACGAATGCTTGTTTCAGATTTCTTCAGTTTGGTCACTTATTTTGAAAATATTTGCCGGAAGTTATACCCATGTTATAATATCTGCTTTGACGCATATGACCATGACCACTAGAGAACAGCTGACAGTCACTTCATGTTAATTTGTAAGGCTGCTTCAGTTTGGTGGCTACATTGTGAAAGTATACACCGAAAGTCTCAGCATCAAAGGACAAATGTAATGTTGTGTGCTGCAGTTCCTCGTGGTGACCACGAGAGGACAGTGAAGACCCATGACTAGAAACACATTCAGTTAAACCTCCACCTAATATCAAAGCAGGCTCATGTTGGTGGAGAAGTTGCTTTTTTGCTTTGTGCTTTATTTATTATCAGTGCAGTCGATGGTTTAAATTTTGGAACAAATTAACACTTAGTAGCCTAAGTGTTAATTTGTTCTTTCTGGGCTGGAAGATTCAACAACATTTCCATTCAGTGTTGCTTTCCCATCCATAAAAATATGCACTTACCCTTGTATGAATCAGCAATGACTGAATATCTAGTGAACAAGCTTAGTAACAATGTTTAAATTCAATCCTGATTTGTGTTTAGTTTATACAGATTTTGAGTGTGAGTTACATTTAATCTTCATATTTATTGTCATTATCATCTACCCAAGATCTCCTGTCAGTGTTTCAGTTCATTTTTCTAAAAAGAAAAAAAAAAAGATTTTAATGGAATCTTAAGTAAAGAAGCAAAAGCTAAACACCAATGGTTCACATTGTGTATTACCTTGTCTTGATTCTCTGAAGTACAGTGTAGAGGTAGACTGTATTTTATATTGTTCTACAACATCTCAAATTCCCCCAAAAAAGCAATCAAGTGAATAATCAATACAGAAGATTTTGAACCAGATAGGCTACCAGAATCTTTACATAAAATCCTACTTGTTAAACAACAGAGAATATCTACACAGAGAAACATTTCTCCCATTCACATTGTAAACAACAACGGCAGCTTTTTTAGAATCCATTAATGAATGAAAGGAGTGTCAAAGTGTTCGTTTCTGTGTTAGGGACGTCCCACCATCTCCTTTTTCTACCCCGTCCCATCTCATTCCTGAGCAGCCCTTATAAAAATCCCAGGAACCCCCGGCTCTGTAGCAGACCTTAACGTGTGTCCACACTGAACATCCAGGATGACAGGGATTATTCTGTTTCTCTTGTTTCTGGGGATTCCTCTTTATAAGTCAGAGGAGCATGCTGTCAATGGTGAGTGTAAACATTTTCTTTTTTTTTTATCACTCAGAACAGTAAGGATTTGTAGAGTTCTGCATTTGTATGTGTTTTATGTGAACAACTCTTTTTCTTACATCTACATGCTCATTAATTGTAACACATGTACTGTAGCAACAGTACGCTCTGTTGTGGTTTGTTATTTGCTGTTTTACACTGGAAGACATGTTGCTTTGGATCTCACCATTACAATAATCATTACATCAGTGTTATTCTGTTATTTGTCAAAATATATTTAAAAAAACTACTAAAACATTAATTAATCCAGTGTCTGCATAATTCCCATGGGGAAGTATTACATCCCAAAACAATTATCTAATATGATTTAGATACAACACCCAGTCAGTAATAGTTGACATAATTTTATAACTTTGATGGATTGGGGACTTTTATGACTTTGGTTCATTTTAAAAACTAATAATTCAGCTGTAGATTCTTATTAAGTTAGACATTTCCAGCCCACACATGCTCAGGTCAGTGAGTGTCATGCTGTAAAGTAAAGGGACAAGTTCTCAAGATGAAAGTTACTGATAAATCTCCAGCTGAAGTACTGACACACTACTAACACAAACATTTGTCATACTTTATTAATTAAGAAAGCCCAAAGAAAGATCCTTAACTTTGAAATTGTTTCAAGGAACATCCACAGTTATGATGTTAATCAAATGAACCCATTGTAGCTTACTGTAGGGGTCGAGGGGCTTCGATATTCCAGTAGTACCAAATTGGAGAGAATTTCTAACTGGACCACAACTTTTTGTTTGTGTCAACCCAGAGTTGTACACCCTGATAGAAAAGGGTCAGACCAGCTTTGTGGATCCGACTCCGAGCAACCAGAGCCGGCTGGTGGTTAAAGAGCCCTCCCTGCCCATCAACGAGCTTCTAGAGAAGAGCAGCAAGACCGGCGACTCCAAATTCACCCTCCATCCTCTACCCTCTGCAGTCTGGCCAAAGCACAGTGACCTGGCCCCTATTCCTCACCTCCACAGCCCCCACAACAAGAGCAAAAAGGGCCCCAAGAACGACCGTCTGGTGGAGCACAACAGCGAGAAAACCAGAGGAGAAGTCGCCGGTCTGCTTCCCAAAACTCCCCTGACAGGAGCTACAGCTGCTGCCACAAACCGCACCGTGCAGAAGACCAACCAGGACACCCAGTCCAACATCAGTCCTCCTCAGCAGAGTGAACCAGACGCACACCCCAACTCCAGACCCAGGGGCCCACCGCACACACAGACTCAGACTCAGCCGCACCAACCGGCCCCTTCCCCACGCAGAGAGCCCCCCAGCCGACGGCTGGACCCGGAGGAGAACCGGCCGGGGAAGTCCAGTCTCTATCAGTCAGGCATCGGTGCTGCAACTCGGAACAACAGCCGCCCGCCTGTCGTCTTCAACCGGCGCTCCTCCAGCCTGCTTTACCAGTTCGACATCCTGAGGCGAGGTATGGGAGGATTTGTTGTAGATTAGGATAACACAGGATCTTTGAATTTAACTTTACTGACCTTCATCTGTATAATTTCTTAAACTCTCCTTTGGGATTACATACTTCAAAGGATTGAAATGATGTAAGAGTTTAGCCATCTGGGGAAAGTAGCCTATTTATTACCAGTAATTCTCTGTGCACACACTTTAAAACTTGATAACACAATTAGAATGACAAATGACTCAAACCAAACACGACATGTTTGTCTCAGTCACTGAATGAAAAAAGGCTGCACGTAGATTTCACCTTTTTTTTTTAAAAATGTGTCTCCTGCAAAGTTAAAACAGCCCAGGCTTATCCTAAAACATTTGATCACAAAAAGCGCCAAACAGGATGACCACAAAACTACAAAATTACCAAAATTCCTTTGAAGAAACCAAAAAGAAAAGACAAATTTGTTAATGCATCCTGGTGGCCTATGGGTTAAACATGCTGACCACTCACTGCCAGCTTCCCTGAACTTTAGTCTGGCGAGTGACCTTTGTTGCATGACATCCCTCATCTATATCTTTCCGCATTTCCTGTCACTCGCCACTGTCTCCTGTCTAATAATGGCTAAGAAAATACCCCATTAATTACTGATAAAAAATATACATTTGTTATAATGAAATAAGCCCTACACATACAGTAATAGCATACACTAAAACACAAAGGTCACAGAGTTCACACATAAAGCGATAATGACAATGATGGTTAGTGAACACCCCTAGCCACTAATTACAACCACCTCCCTCAAATCTGGCTGTCAGTGTTTCCCTTTGTGTGCAGTCTTTTAGGAGCGAGAGGTTGCAATGAAACTGATGCAGAGTAAAAGAGACGGTTTTGACATTGTAATTAAGATGGAAAATGTAACACGGATGTGATCCCATCACATATAGGGCCTCCTCCAGTGCAGAGGAATGCGACGCCTGGGTTTTGTAATGACAACCTTGTCCCTTTTCTAATGACACTGGAAAGAGAGTCTGGCTCCTGCACGGGGCCACGGCAGACAGTCACTCTCTCTTCTTCTCATCCCTCCATCCTGTTCTCTGCTTGTCTTCCTCTCCTCAGAGTCCGACTTCACACATGATGCCTTTTGCATGAGCGAGTGCAGGAAGGAGAAGGAGGAGAGAGAGTATTACTGCTACAGTGAGTTTGGTATGTACCCAGTGAGGGACAAAGAGAGAGTTTGTCAAAGGTAGACCAATAAAATCCTTTTCAGTCATTTTTATGGTACTGATTAGTCCTCATAGGTCAGTTTGATCAAATAAGTAACACTGCAGAACATTCTGAACACATGCCTGTGTGTATGTAGATATTTATTTACTACAGGTGCATCTCAGAAAATTTGAATATTGTGAAAAAGTTCATTTATTTCAGTAATTCAACTTAAAAGGTCAAACTAATATATTATATAGACTCATTACATGCAAAGTGAGATATTTCAAGCCTTTTTTTGATATAATTTCGATGATTATGGCTTACAGTTTATCAAAACCCCAAATTCAAAATCTTCAGGTTCAGTATTGTAGGCTCAAAGTGTCACACTCTAATCAGCTAATTAATTCAAAACACCTGCAAAGGGTTCCTGAGCCTGTAATTGGTCTCTCAGTCTGGTTCAGTGGAATTCACAATCATGGCGAAGACTGCTGACCTCCACAAGGAGGAAAAGCCTCAAAAGGTAATTGCAAAAGAAGTTGGATGTTCTCAAAGTGCTGTATCAAGGCACATTAATAGAAAGTTAAGTGGAAGGGAAAAGTGTGGAATAAAAAGGTGCACAAGCAGCAGGGATGACCGTAGCCTGGAGAGGATTGTCAGGAAAAGGCCATTCAAATGTGTGGGGGAGCTTCACAAGGAGTGGACTGAGGCTGGAGTTACTGCATCAAGAGCCACCACACACAGACGGGTCCTGGACATGGGCTTCAAATGTCGTATTCCTCTTGTCAAGCCGCTCCTGAACAACAAACAACGTCAGAAGCGTCTTACCTGGGCTAAAGAAAAAAAGTTTCTCAGTGGTCCAACGTCCTCTTTTCTGATGAGAGCAAATTTTGCATCTCATTTGGAAACCAAGGTCCCAGAGTCTGGAGGAAGAATGGAGAGGCACACAATCCAAGATGCTTGAAGTCCAGTGTGAAGTTTCCACAGTCTGTGTTGGTTTGGGGAGCCATCCACTGTGCTTTATTAAGTCCAGAGTCAGCGCAGCCGTCTACCAGGACATTTTAGAGCACTTTATGCTTCCTTCAGCAGACGAGCTTTATGGAGATGCTGACTTCATCTTCCAGCAGGACTGTGGTTGATCGGCCTGCAAACTCGCCTGACCTGAACCCCATAGAGAATCTATGGGGCATTGCCAAGAGAAAGATGAAAGACATGAGACCGAACAATGCAGAAGAGTTGAAGGCCGCTATTGAAGCATCCTGGTCTTCCATAACACCTCAGCAGTGCCACAGGCTGATAGCATCCATACCACGCCGCATTGAGGCAGTAATTCATGCAAAAGGGGCCCAAACCAAGTACTGATTACATATGCATGATTATACTTTTCAGAGGGCTGACATTTCTGTATTTAAAATCCCCCTTTTTTTTATTATTATTATTTTTTTTATTGATTTCATGTAATATTCTAATTTTCTGAGATTTTGAATTTGGGGTTTTCATAAGCTGTACGCAATAATCATCAAAATTATGTCAAAGGCTTGAAATATCTCCATTTGCATGTAATGAGTCTATATAATATATTAGTTTCAGCTTTTAAGTTGAATTACTGAAACAGCTATCAAAATACACTATCATAATAATATCAAATATTAAAATACAATATCAGCGTATGCGAAGCTCACTAATTAACATGTTACATCCTGTTTGTTGAATAGCTACAAATAATGTTGAATAAGTTTTTGCACTTTGGTTTTTGTACAAGTTAAACAAACACAATGTAATATGTTAATTACTGAGCTTTGGAAATGCTGGTAGGTGGATTTTATTACTTTTGCATAGAGCCAGGCTAGCGGTTTCTCCTTTTTTTGTTGTTGGGCTAAACAAAGCTAAGCTGAGCTAACTGGTTTCTGGCTGTATGGTGCAATCCATTTGACATTGGAAGTTGGGAAGTTCAAAGGAACCCCAACTTCGTGATCCAAGATGGCTGCTCTGAGTATCAACAGTTAGCGAAAGCTGTAGTTTATACTTTTTATTAGCACTTCTGTGTACTTGTGTCTCATATAAATTTTCGTACACAAAGTGCTGTCCAACAGCTGTCTGTGGACGTATTGCTACTGTGTTTAGTATGAGTAAATACTGCACAGCGCTTTTTTTATCAACCAGCGTAACAATGGCTAGCCTGGCTGGTTGTAAACAATGACTGGCGCTGTCAACTCTGATGTGACATCATTCCCAGCTCCGACCTCCGAGGTAAATGGCACAAGTACCAGTAGCTTCATATTTCCTGGAGAGAGTGGTATCAATCTTCTCATCTCACTCTGGGCAAAAAAGCATATTTCCCAAAATGTTGAACCATTCCTTTAATAAAACAAACACATTATACCTTTAAATCCAGAGTCACAATGGTATGAATTTCCAACAGTTTGACACATGATGTTTTTCACATCCCTTAAACAGCTGTCAACGGGGTAGTTCACGACATCGATGTGTTGCGTAAAGGAATCCGTCTCATTACACTGATGGTGAGCAGTGACGGCTTCTACAAGATGAGTCGTCTCTATGTGACACCAGACAGCTTTTTCTTCAAAGTTCGCCTTCTGGTCCTGGACACCTACAAGTGCAGCAAGCCCTGCCCTGACATCAAGCTCGGTAAGTGTAGTAGGGTCACTCAAAAGCCTCCTCAAACAAAAGATCTGGAGGCTAACATTTGTTTAGTGTAGAAAAAGACTAAAACTAATGTGACCGTGAAAGTTTATCTATTAACGATGCCTATGTCACTTTACTGGTAATTGTTGAGTGGTTTATTAAATTATAAACAGAAAACTTATTCTTTGATTTTAGGTGTTAAGAATCATAAATTAAGTCTATATCACAGACTATATTCTTGTGTGGGATGTAGGAATTTTGTTTTCCTGAGATCAACAAAAGTACACGAAAATTGCTCAATTGTGCACCTTATGTGTTCCCAAGGGACCAGATACATTATAATGGGCCAGATCTATCACCGGAGGCGCCATCTTCCCAGTGACCTCCTAAATCTCCTGGGGGGTAAACTGAAGCCCGGAGACGGCCTCCTGCGAAGCAACAACTACGTCAAGAGGTTCAACAAAAGGAGGCACCAGAAAGCTCTGGAGGCCACCCGCTCCAGGTGTAGGTGAATCAAAGATAGGACTATCGTCCCCCTGCTGCAGGGGAAGAGACACTGCAGCTTACCTGAACTGATCATAACTAACCCCTCAGTATTGTGCAAGACAGAAGACATTGTGCGGAAGGCATGGATTTATTTTTGGTATGGACTGCTGTGATGTATCATAATCCTGGTTCGTCTTTTTTACTCATGTGTAAAGTTCCTGATGTCCTGACTTGTGGTCTCTTTGATAGAAAACACAAGCAGCATCAATTAAATGGATTTTCCATGAACAATTTGTAATATTTGGGGCATGAAACAAGGGCATCCCCTCGGCCCACAATGATTTTCTCAAAATAGCAGCTCCACTCAAACTCCTCATTCATGGCTGGTTCATGAAGTCCCTAAATTGAAAATTTGTACAATTGGCTCACATTTAAAGGGAAATTTGGCTTACCTGAAGCAAACTGCTTTCCATTTAGCATGACATTAGTTTATAGAATGGATGTGTTTTATCATCTTGCATCAGCATTCACATGGGTATATTTCTTCTTGTGTTTAACAAGCCGATATTTGTGCTGAGAAAGAAACATTGTCAGATCTGCCGTCTTTATTCCCACTATACTCCATATGAAAATGCATACAAATAATTGGTTTAAGGTTGTTTTTACAGCTGATGCAGTTGAGTAGTAGCAAGAGTAAATTCCAAAGCATGCTCTCATATTTAACAATCAAATTCCAGATCCAAAACAACACTTTTGCGAGATATCGAGGAGAAACTGTGTTCAAAATAATGCCAGCTACTTAGTAGCCAACATTTTTGGAAATGTAGGACCCTTGGATCTCATCTTACAAATCCAAAATTTTAACCATGTTGATTCCTTTGATTAATCTATGATGCTTCTAAATTGGTATGAATGCAACATGTTGTATTGCACTGAATAGTATTGTTTTGTAACACCCAACCCCGTGCATGCTATTACTGTGGTTGTTATTGGTAAGCAGGAAATGCACTATTATTATTACAAGGACCAAAGGGAGGGAATGAAGAGCCTCAAAAAGCAACAGCAAACCCCCAGCGGAGGAAGAGGGAGAGCACAGGACCTTTGCTTGTCATGAGAGCGGCATATTTTCCTAACTTTAATTATGTGTCCATGGTGAAATATCTGCCCGAGTAGACTGGGACATCAAAAGGGGCCTTGCAGAATGAGGAGGGGGGGCCGTTGTTGTAGGGACTAAGCCATAAATCTAATCGCGGGAATCTGATCCTCTCCGCACCTGGACACATGACTTGGAAACGTGCCTCCGTCACAGCTCCTCTTTGGGATGGCTCTTGTTCTCTTGCTTACACACAAACACACTCCTCCGGGACAGGCAAAGCTCAAATAGGGGTATTTGAAGTATTTAGGCAGGATCAGAGAAATAGGGAAGGTTATGTAAAATGACACAGGGAGGGGATTGAAGCAGGAGAGGGGGTGTTGGGTCTATGTTTCTAAAGGGATTGCTTCTTATTTTATCAGAAATCCCTGGCTTGATTGTAGTACGACCCTGAGCTCACGCTTCGTATGAAAGGGTAAAGATTTAAAGATTTGCACTGAACGCTTACATTTGCTTTACTATATATGAACCCAATAAAAATGTGTATTGGTTTTGTACTCAACGACCCTGTGAGGAATTTATTTGTCTTTAAACCAACCCTCCACTCACGCCATCACATCCATCTGCCCACTGACTGAAAAACGTTTCTAGTGATTGCATGAGAAGGAGCACCCAAAGTAAGGCACTCTAATTAGAGTTTAACAACCATGGTCTCTGTCTGGCGTGCGGTAAGATAGACCGACTTGGGAACTTGGATGTTGAGGCAGGCAGAGCTAAGCCTCTTTTCTCCCCCTCTGTCCGTTTGTCAGCTGGGCCAGTCAGTTCCCAGGCTCGAGGAAGCCTCTATCTGGGATCAGCGCTGGAGGGAACAGATGCAGGCGGGCAGGAAACAGGAGCCTGCTCCACATCTTGGCTACTATCGCAGCAGGAGGACATTCCTCTTTGCAGAGGATGTAAAGCAGGAGGAGGGAGAGAAAGAGGGAATAGAAGAGTGGGGGAGGTGGGAGTATCTCCCTAAGTTGCTTCCTGTGTGATAGCCCCCAAGCCACAAGGGGGGAGTGAGAGAAAAGAGGTGGTGGATTGAAACCACGTGAGGCTTGTGGTCATCTGCAGGCAACATTTGCAGCGTCCGTGCGAACCTCTGGATTCTTTTAGTGGTTTGTGTGGGGAGTTAAGAGAGGGAGGTGTGGGAGGAGAGTGAAAGGTCAACCTCGGAGGTGGCTTTTATGTGTCATGTTGATAATTTGATCACAGGAAGAGTTTTTATGGGTTTCAATGGGTTCATGACCTGGATCTTTAGCGCTCACAAGTACAAGCACACATTTCCCTTAAAGGTCCAGATAACTGATAAAGTTAAGCTGAGGGTTGAACTTGCCATTTATAGCCGGATTTACCCATTAAAGGTCCTAAATAGGATATATTTTAACTCAGGGCCTGTCTGCAAAATGGAGCCTCAAGAATAAGTAATTATGCATACACTGTATTCACAATTATTAGGCAAGTAACTATTCTGAATTAATAGTTACTTTGATCAAGCAGTAGTACAGGAAAAAGCCCTAGGTTTTTAAGAAGGCCATGACCTTTATGCAGGACAATGATCCATCACATGCATCCAAGTACTCCACAGCTTGAATCCTTATTTTTTAAAGGCCAAACATTTTATTTATTTGTCATTTTGTGTTGTTACTTACAGTATTTTGGTAATTTAGCTGCCAAATAATTCTGCACACTTATATTCTCCTGAGCAAGACAGAACTCACTTTTAATTGGTTAAACATTCAGGTTTGAGGTTCAATTATATTTTAGATTGTCTGAGAGCATTTTGTTTGAGTTTAAGTCACATAATAACACAAAATAACCGACAAACCAGCAACTCCCGTTATCTTGGAGGTAAAATGAGTCTGGTGGCTTGGGGTGAAAGCGACTGATTCTGGTTAAACAAAAAGGATCTTGCTCTTTAAAAAAGGTCTGTAGGGATCCTTTCCACAATGTTGTCAGAGACTTGTAATAACTATCTGAGCCTGTCAGTGGCAAAAACAAGCACTTTAGTGGACATACTTTGATGGGACACAATTGCCCGCAAGGATTATGTTGCTCTTGCAGCCCTGTTTCATGTCCTGTTAACATGGAGTCTCAATTAGTCATATAGACACAAAAAAATGGGAAAATAAGGTCTAGGAAGTTACCCTTTTAGAAAGTATTGTGCACAATCATAGTTTAGCTTTTTTGCATACCATCATTTGCTGATTAGCTCATAACACAAAGAACAGCTGAGGCTGATGGAAATGTCATTAGCTTTGCAGGTATTTGGTCATAAACCAAAGTAGGCCTATTGGACAAACTGGAATATTGGCCTGATTAGGGCCAAAAGCCAGAGGATGACAAAAGTGATTACAGTTCCCCCTGACAGGGGCTTGAATGTGTGTAGCATGTTTAATTGCAATCTATCCAACAAAATTTGAGACATTTCACTTAAAACTACTAATGTGAATGTCATGGTGATGCTAGAATCTAAAGTCATTAGGATGTAGCCTCTGGGTACTATGAATGTTTGTACAAAATTGGATGTCAATCCATCCAATAGCTGTTGAGATATTTCAGCCTCAGACCAAAGTGGTGGGCCGACTAACCGGCATTGCCATCCATAGAGGTATGCCACTAGCATGTCTAAAAAAATAAAAATATTAAAACTGACGTATTTGCCAAATCTAAAAATGTTACTTAAAAGGAGAAGTTATCAATAAGCCATTTAGCCTGTATAGTGGTGTTCCCTAAGGTTTGCCTTGAATATGCTTCCCCTGGGAAAGTGATTTTATGAAGTATTCAGGTGATGTTTTTGTAATATATTAAAGACAGTAGTAGGGTTGATAGGAAATCAGAGACAAAAAATGCAACAAAAGTCCTCAGCAGGACTTGAATCGGGTATACAGCAGTTCATGGTTAGGATCTTAACCCCTAGGCTAGGTTAGGTATCTCCTATCACTGCTATGCAGATCATCATACATCTCATTTAAGTCGCATAATGTAGCTAATTCCTGTAACTACATACATTTATAAAATATGGATGGCAGATAATCTTCAACACTGACAAAAACAGATGTTATTTCTGCCATACCCAGCCTTTTCCCTAATGGAAAGTTTCAATTCTTTCCTCTGCTTTAAATCTTCCGTATGAAATGTAGGTATCAGACCGGGCACTGACTTTATCAACATGTCAAGTGTTTCACTCCTGTTTTATCCAGCGGAGGAACACTGCGAGACACAGGCCCATTGAAATGGAGACAATTATTCATGCGAATGCATATTTTTATTGTGAAGCACTTTGTGACAAATAAAACAATGCACAGTAATAACCTTATGTAGCCCTGTGTGATGAGGTTAGATAAACTGCTGTAATGAGCAGTGACAAAGAAAACACAACGCTTTTGAAAACTGGTGTCAAAAACATTACTTTATTACCTAGGATGAAATGTCCTATCAAGTACAAAAGAGAATCTCTTCGGAGTTGCCACAATCTGTTAAAAACATAGAGTTCTTTTTTTTTTTTTCCTGCAGTTAACGTTTCTTCAACATTACTAAAAAAACTGAAAACTTTTCGTTTGATATGAATAAATAATACAAGAAATGCAATGTCAATATAGAAGTTATGTTGAACTGGTTGGTTTCTTACAAAAAAGAAAAGAAAATCTCTTTACAAGAGTTAACTGTCACTCTACCCGATTCAACACCTGTATGCTCACAATATGCAGCACTTTTAATATAAAGGGCAATTTCACCTAAATCTTCAACTAAAGACAAAAAAATAGACAGTTAAAATATACAGGCGGGCTTAGTTGCTGGTTCAAAGAGTGAAAAATAAAAGTTTCTACTGCTCTATAAATCTTTTCTCTCTACATATTTGGACAGCCATAATATACAATAGAGATTATAAACAGTGGATGAAACATCATCATCATCAGATTACAAAGTGACCGACATTTGTGTGAAAGACACACAAACACAGAAAAGAAGACAGAAGCTACATTATCTCTCAACTCTGCTTGTACACACAGTAAATAAGAAAAACGTTATGATTGAAACTGAAACATTTGCTTAGTTTAAACAGTTTTTGACAACTTAAAGACAATCATATTCATCTTATGACTGCTCCCCTCCTACAAAAACTGATAACGGATTATAAAAATGTTCCCAAATATGCTAAAAATGCCACTATAAAATTTTCATACAAACCCCATGACACAAAGACTCCCCAGTCCCCACTCAAAGTATACTCTCAGACATGCTGCCGCAGACCGCAACATAACTGAGTTGATGCTGAGCGGAAAAGTCCATTATCCAATTACTTAACCATGCTTTGAGGGTGAGTTGAGAGACATATGTGAGCCAACCTGTCAACTTCAATGAAGTATGCTGGAAGAAGTGGCTGATAGATAAGGGGGAGAGAGACTCACAGACTCAGCCATCAACAGAAACAGAGCTTTGACAAGACAGTGCGTGCATGGAGGGAGGGAGGGACAGTACATGGGGGTTAGGTACGCCACAGGTTTCACCTTCCCTGAAGGCCTAACAGTCTTGTTTCCTCGCTTCTTGTGATTGACTTCCTTTAAAATAAAAAAAGTTTAAAAGGAGCACAGAGCCAGTTAACATTCTTGGATAACATTTCAGAATAACACAAAACGGAGAAAAGGTCAGAAGAGGAGCAGGATGTGGTGTGTGGGATGGCCTGTCCTGGGTGTTTCCCCTCTGGAAATGAACATGAAAGCAACACAGCTCTCCGACAAAATGAAGACCCCTTGAATTACTTGAGTGATGGCAGTATACACCCGTACGATGTTTCTGTGTTAATCGAACTGTCTATATTATCAGACTATATTTGTGAAATCTAGCGCCCATCACAAATGGAGCATCTCTGCATCAGGTGATAGGGAAGGTACAGTGAAATGAACCACATCGCAGACACATTTGGACCTGATGTGCCCCCAAGTGGGTTTTATGAGGCTGGTTCATGCTTCGTGCAGGGCTACACACCTGAGGGTATAGTCAAAATAACTGGGTGCTGTGGAGTTAGATGTGAAACATGGAAGGTGACTCTGCGCCTGACATTGGCTGAACAAAGTGGATCTGAAATCTGATTGGTTTCAATGTTTTTATTTTCCTGGTGGGAGACAAAGAGCAGTAAAATGCTGCTTTCAGGCATAGTCGTTAAATATGACAAGAATAAACTCTCAAGGTACTGTACATAGATGTGATGCCTGCATCTTCTGCTATTAGCCACACATGAAGCAGAAACCAGGCATTTCAGTTCTCCTTTTGACCATATGAATGTTTCCATCTGATGCAGGGACTAGGCTTTTATGGGATGTTTGCGTCATAAAAATGTGACGTGATGAAATTAAAGTTGTATGCTGTGGGTGGGAAGATCAAAAGCTGGCACTTTGCTATAGAGGCCACACTACTATATAGTGATCAGCTACAGAATGAACTGCTGCCATGAGATCAGACTGCCAACTGCACATCCAACGAGACGACTTATCAACTTTATCTGCGTGAATCTCTCTTCTC